ATTTATTCTCTCTGGTTCCCTTCAAGTTCCCTCTTGTCATCTGTTTATTTTCCAGTCAACAAAACTTTCCTATGGGAGGATTTCTTACAATTAATTTCAAAATCTTCATAAGTTCTTTTATAAATCTTCAAACACCCCACAGGAAATATTCTTTCAAGTCCATCTAGCCCCTTAACTTTCCAAAATCCACATTGTAGTCTCCCTTTTGCTTTTTTCCAAAAAGTATATATATTTTTTAATCCTTACACTTACATGGAGCTTCTTTCATTCAGGGTAGAAGGAGATTCTCCTGACGTAATAAAACTTGCCCTTCGGAAGGTTCTTAATTTCTAAAAAAATCAGTAAAAATCAGCTTCCTAAAGTAATTAAGAGAGGAAGTAGGTGAACCCAGTGTCTCTTTGAAAGGTACCAAACCATGGCTTAGGCAGGATGGCTTTCCCCTGGCTGCCAGAACTCTCAGACCCACTGGAGATTGCTATTTTGTGATCTCTTTGCAGGGAGATTCTGTATGGAGCAAACTTGTGGGTGATCCTTGTCCTCTCCTTGATCCAGAGAGTAGTCCCAAGATGCTGATCCATTCACCAGCTCTTCTTTCACCACAGTCGCCAGCTCTGCAAAAGCGGAGCCATGTTCAGTCCACCACTGCTCAGAAGTCGAGCAAAGCCAGGACCCCTTTACATTCTTAAAAATTATTGAGGACCCCAAAGAGCTTTGGTTTATGTGGGAAATATCTAATTAGAAATTAAAACTGAGAAAATTTAAAATATTTATTTCATTTTGTGGACCCCCTGAAAAGATTTCAGGGACCCCCAGGGGTCCCCAGTCCACACTTTGAGATCCACTGCCCTATACAACCTACTAAATTCTCAAGTTAGAGTAGAGGAGTATGGAAGTGGCCTAGACAAAGCTATTCAACAGCCATTATGTAAACACCAGCTTAGACTTGAAAGGGAGAAAGGAGTGAGAAAGAAGCTCAAGACTGCTCCATCTTGGTTCAATAAGAGGTGGGAAAGGGAAGCTCCACCAGGCTTTCAAGACTCCATTATGGTACCCTGTAATAATAAAGTAGGCTTTCAGTTGTTCTTGTGGAGTCTATTTCCTGACCTGGCCTACCTCAAGGGCTGACAGCATGGATGATTCTTGGCAGATGATCCTTTTGTTTCAGAGGGGGAAACTTCTTCCCACTGTCAATGAAATGACAGGGACAAAAACTAATGACAAATAGAGCTGTAAGGCTGCAGTTAAAGGGAACTGAGGTTTTCAACGTCAGTTTATGTAGGCATTCACTGGCTTCCAAGGAGTGCTAAAGTATGAAAGGAGGGTTATGGCCACACAAGCAATCTAAGCCCCCAATGTTTGAGCATTTCTGGCTGCTAATAGATACCTTTACCTGTCTGGGCTTGAGATCTGAAGAGGAAGAATGAACCTGCCACATCCAGTGTGTTGAATAAGGCTGAGAAGTGCATGCAGCCACTGAGCTGCAAAATGTCCACTGTGGCTCTTTGTAGCCAGCAGAAAAGGTAGGAACTTGGCACAACACATTTTTTCAGTAATGATATAACAGAAACCCAAAGGTTGCACAGATCAAAGCAATGAATCCAATAAATATGGATCCCATGGGGAGGCCAAAAAAAAAAAAAAAATTTCATCTAGGCTGAAAGGAAATAGAAAGGGTGCTTCTTTTTGTACTTTCTTTTTTCACCAATTTGTGTCACTTTTGCAGACGCTTAGGACTTTATCTTTGGGTTACTTAGTTAAAAAAAATCCTGAAGCTACCAGAAATGTATGTTTGGGGAGAAATTTAAGGTTGGATGGCTACAGTTGCAAGACAGGAAACCACAGTGTATTACTGATGCCTTGGAATAGTTAAAGCATGGTTTTCATCTGGAAGACCACTTGGGAACCTTTAGTAAAGCTCATCTTGACTGGGGAAGGGGGCATCCAGTAGGAAGCACAACGGCCAAAGAAAGCATACTGTCAACAGATAATATCATCCATCTCCATCCATCAGGCTTTCCCAACCTGAATTCCCACCAGTATGGCAGTTCTCAGAATTGAAATGCAACATGTCTAGGGGGCACCAAACTGGAGAAAGCTGACCTACCTAGTTTAACATTACTCTTCAGCTTGGAACTAGAACATTCTGGAGAGATTGAGATAATGTTAATAGTAAGTTTTCTAGCTTTGGGCTAGAAACTTGTAAATGAATTTAGAACTGGCCTAGAAAGGATGAGAAAGATGATCAGCTGGTAATGGAAATACACTTGTGATATTCTTGCAAAAGCCCATAATAATAGAAAGGACTCCTTACCATCAGTCTGGGTACAACTGCAATGCTGACTCGACGCCGAGCTGAACCCTGGGATGCAAAGAATTCTGATTAGCATGCCTACAGCTTTGGATTGAGTGCTATGGGGATCATGTTTTCCTCAAGGGTATTCCAGGGTCCTTTCCTGAATCTACAACTTTCATAAAGGGAGAAGTCAAGCCCATCTGTATACGTAAATAGCAGGAAAAATCTACAGGTAGGTTCTAGGCAGTAGGTTGCCACGAAATGAAGAAATAAACTTTCTTATTTAGCCATTAGCACTAGGCTTTTCTAAATATTTAATTTGGCTAGCACTTGGGTGCTTTTGAACTCATCCTGGTATTCTCCTAGATACCTTCTCTGCAAAAATTCTGCCTTAGAAAGTTTTGCTTTGAGCCCTATTCTAAGACATCCAGCTAGCAGTTCATTTGCCAGGGGCCACATAATGATAGGGTTCACACATCATACTAAGTTATGTTCTGCTTAATCAAGGTTTAGCACAAAAAATGCAAGTATCTGGACCTATACAGCACACTCAACTCTGTTTTACAAATCACAGTGCATGGGTTCACCCAATACTTGTAGTCAGAGCTAAGCAAACAATGTGGAGATGAAATAAAATGAGATATTTGAGCTGAGCAAGAGTTGAAAGACCAACAAGATTGGCCCCACCCAACTACAGGGTAAGACTATAATTTTGGCTATCTTTCTGTGGAGAAGATGAAGCCCAATGACTGGGCTATCTGCGTTCTGTAACCCTGCCACCATCTAAAACAATGGATAGCATTCTCCATAGGACAGCTGAGAACTACTCCCCACAATCCTAATCTTCCTTACCTGCTGAAAAATTCGCGCTAGAGGATACTTCAGTCTCTGCTCACCATCATCTATGAGACAAAGATAATTTCTTATGGGAAGGGCCATAACCCAGGAGATCAAGTACATGTTTTACAATTCAAAGGTGCTGGATTCTATCTGTGGTATAGAAACTATACAACTCCAGTGTCTAAAACTCTAGAAAACCAAATAGATTGAATATGGTATGACATTCAACTTTCCTCAGTAGATTATGTTCCTATTGGAACATAAGGGGCATATAATATATCCAATTAATTTTGGCCCCATGATTGACTCACAACAATCTAGTATCTTAAGCCAACTTTAAGAACTGGCTTGTTCTGGGTAATCATGGCCACTGAATCTGGATAATTAGAAAATACTTATTTTAGAGTGTGGCACCAATGAAGGTTCTGAATGTGGAACAGACCATTATTGGTAAGTGGATCTTATGGAAAACATAGACATGGAAGGAATATTGGTGTCTAAGGTCTTAATCAGCCAAGCTAAGTGGCAGCACCTAGACAACCCTGATAAGTTTTGATTTGGGGATCTCTCTTTCCCAGTATAGCTTGCCACTGTAAACTACAGTAAGATTATTTGAAAGTTATCCTTTCATATGGTAATTTTTTGTGAGAGAAATGTTAATTACACTGGGGAAAGCAGCCAAAATTGCATGTTCCTTATCTTTTCATGCTCCTCATTGACAGAGCTATATTAAAGCAATTCTACACATAAGACTACATGCGACACATTTAAAAATGCAACTGCATAAGCTTGGGAAAGAGGGAGAGAACATTAACGGAAAAGGATTTATTTAGCTCTTTCCTCTCTTGCTGCAATCCTGTAGAAAATCCTCTTCTTAGTATTTAAGTTGAAGGGGAATCAACTAAAGGGATAAATTATTGCCAAAGCAAATATCCATTTCAGTCCGTAGCACAAAAAATAAAAGAGTGAAACTCCCTCATCATGCTGCTCTGATCCAATTACTACAGCTGATTCTTGGTGCTTAAGTGCTGGTCCTCTATATATCTCATTGATGGAAGCTACAGATGTCAGAGCTCAGTTTTAAAATCCTTTAATAAGCTTGCATAACCTTGGGAGGTAGGAAAGCTTCTTTCCAAGGGAAAACAGGCCAGTGCTGTCTTGACCTTTTGGACATCCTCCTCCCATATACACCTCTGATTTTCAGTTATGAGAGCAGAAGTAGAGAAGGGCTGGAATATAAAAAACCTCTGGCATATTTAAAATTCAGCTGATTCAATAAAAAGCTTTTCACTGTTGTAGTACCTGTTGACATGTAATCAAGAAACAAGTGCCTTTCCAACTCATTTTGGTATTTTTTAAGATATGGTGCCTCAAACAGATAAAAACAAATCCTCCTCACACTCCTCCTGGGAATTCAGGCAAATGTTAATAAGTGGTATTCTTACACCCAAAGTTTCTTCCTCCTTGCACATCAGCTGTTTCACTTTCTTTCATTTCCATCCCAGGCTCTTTTCTAAGGAGTTGGAAGGACAACTCCTAGTCCCTAAGTGGGCAACTTTTCAGTGGCTGAGAATGGACACAATGGATGCTTAATAGTGAAAGGTGATAGACCTTGTATTACACTGTTTCATGCTTCAAAATGGGGGGAAACTATGCCACTGATGTTTTACAGATGACATGGTCCAAGGGAACCCTAGGGCTGCAAGAAAGAGATTTGGGGGCCTTGTGCAGCTCTGGGGTCTTTGGCTGTCCAGAGAATCAATCTTACCCCTGTTTTCTGCTAACTGCCGGTTTCGGGAGTTCTGCTGGATCAGCCTCTTCATATCCTCCAACTCTGCGTGCTCCCTCAGGTGATGCCGTTTCAGATTCTCCACATGTTGCACCATCACTTCTGCAGCCCGACTCATGCGAGCTTCCTGCAGGAAAGAAAGGAAGGTATTAATGAATCCAAGGAGTGGAATAACAAAGGGAACTATGATCAAGCCAGCCCAACCTTCTTCAAGCAGATCGGCAAACAGGTTCACTTGTTTCAACCCTAATTTTTTGTGGTTGTTCAGATCTACATTGACTACTGAACACCACAATAAGATATTCAATAATTAACTGAGATCATGAATATTTTGCATTGGGGTAGATTACCATCCCCTGCTAGATGACTGATTTTTAGACTCTAAGGGAGGTCAGACCTGGTTAGTGGAAGAAGGCAGCAGCAAAGCACTTCCGTATTGCTGCCAAGAAAATGACATGAAGTCACATAGCAATTAAGCTTGACTCAAAGGAGTTTTTACCTTTTATAGTATTTCCAAAATCTCAAAATGCTACATTTTGCTAAAGCAGCCTTATTAGCCCATACTGCAGGAGAAAGGAAGCAGAGAGATGGTGACTTGCCTAAAACCATTTAAGGAGAATACAGGGACCAAGGTTTGAACTGGAGATTTCCTAGTCCTGGGAGAGTGTTAAGTTTTCTGTTCAATTTTACTTCATCTAATTTGTTTAGTTTCAAATGTGGCCTAATCATATAAAACTATCCAGTGGCTAAGTTATAAGCAGGTTGGTTGTTTATCTCCCCAAATGTAATACCATTAGTTAGCACTGCTAAAGAATATGTTAATAGGATTCGTAGCTGCAAGTGTTGCTCCTTAAGGCTACATATGCCATATATATTAAGACTGTGTAAACCATATGCAAATATTGCACTTTCTTTCCCAAAACCTGGACTGGTCTCCATGTTACCAACATAGTACAGCAGATTCCATGATTTTGCAAATTCTTGGCGGAAAACTTTCTGATGGACCTTTTCCTACCGTGATACTCTTTTCTGACAAAGAGAGGAATGGACAGCTATTTAGCTTTCCATCTACAATGTGCTGGAATGATACTACAATTGAATGGATTGTGGGACATTAAAACAGTTCTTTAATATCAGGGCCATGTGGCTCTTATCTAGGTGGTACAGTCTCATCAGCTCCTCAAAGTAGCTTAGCAATGATGTCTGAGCCAGAAATACACCACTGATAAAGGCATTGTAAACATGCAACTGGAATATTATCCTTCTTGGTCCTGCGACACTTGAAGATGGGGTAAATAATCTTAAAAGCTTGCAATATGGATGCTACCAATAGAAAAGAATATATATAACTCAGGGTTGAACTGTGGAGTCCTTGGTGATTTCTGAGCTTGGTTGTTTGCTTGCAGACATTTCATTACTCGACTAGGTAACATCATCAGTGCAAGTGAGTGGGGTTTGCTCCCTTTTATATACAGTGGGTTGCCCTGCCAGTGTTGGTGGGAGTGTGGTTTTCTCCTTGGTAGTTCCTTGATTAGGATATGTTTTCTGCTTGCTTGTTTGTCTGGTGTTAATCCCTGCTTCTCTGGGTTTGGCTGCTGAAGAAGATGTGTTCTGGTCTTTTTGTTTCCTTCTTAGCTTTTTTATTGTCTCTTGAATGGTGTGTAAATGTGGTTTCTCTCTATGTGTCTGTTGATGGTGATTTGTCTGAATGCCAAGCTTCCAGGAATTCCTTAGCGTTTTTGGATTTGGCTTGTTCTAGGATACTCACAGTTTCCCAGTTGAAACTATGGTTGAGTCAGTCCATGTGTTGTGAGATTAAGTTTTAATTGTGACTTCTGACTGCTAACTGGTGTTCATGGATGAGCTCTGCTAGTCTTCTGCCTGTCGGTCCTACATAGTGGCTGTTACAGTCCTTATACTGTATGTTGTAGATGACTCCTGTTTTTTTCTTCTTGGGCTACTGGTCTTTTGGTTTACTTAAGAAGTTTTGGAGGCCTTTGGTTGGTTTGTGTGGTACGATGATGCTGTGTGGTTGTAATAGTCTGTTGGCTGTTTCTGAGATGTTTTTGGATCTTACCCCATGGAGTTTACAGTGAATCAGCTTCCTTCTTCCCTGGTACTAACAAGCCAACAAAGTATGGCATTTTTACCTGGTTTCAGTGTGGCTTCTAGGAAACTAGAAAATCAGAAAGGAATGGGAAGTAAGGGTAGGGAAGACATGCTAGGTTCATTGTACTGATAAAACATGAAAACAAAATACATTGTTTATAAGTAATTCCTATGCAGTTTAACCTGCAAGCAAGCTTTCACCTGGGCTTTCTTTTGGCAAAGTAAATGTGAATAGATTTTGTATGTGGCTTTATCTTATTTTTTGACAAAGTATCAGAGTATTTGTAAACTGCCTCTATGAAGACCTCATGCTAGGTTGAAATGTGTAGGGCTTACCAACTAACATAGTTTTTCCTTGTTTTATCAACAAGCTCATCCTAATATTTCCACTTTTGTACCAGGGGTTCTTTTTTCCTTTCTGTTTTTCTAGTATTATTTTTGCCTGCTTGCTTGCTTGATTATATGCCATCAAGTCATTTTCAACTCCTAATGACCACCTAGATAGATTTTCTCTTTGATGAACTATCCCTAACCTGTTCTTTCAGGTCTTCAGGTACACTCATAGCCATTATGTTTGGTTATTATTGTTATGTTTGCTTTTTTAATGTTTATTCAGCACAAGATATAGACAGATTCACATTAGAAGATGGTTCCTGAGTAATAATAACAATAATTTATTAAACTTGTATGCCGCCTGACTCTCAACAACTCTGGGCAGCTCACAGCAATCAAAGAAATTCGTTTGAGGAATAATAGGAAACACATAGGATAAATGGAAGAGGGTACGTTGCATATGACACATGTGTTCTATATGTTTTCTATATCCTGAAAGATGCCATGATTTATACATGTGGCTCTGTCAGACCAGCCCAAATTTAGCAACTGTCCTTGCAATGATCACATAAGATGATGATTGTTGAGATCAATAACAATCTACTCATCTTTCCAATAATTCAGAGTTAAAATGACAGAAGTAATAAACACGGTGAGAATATATAGATATGGAATATGTACTAAGCATCTCACACCCACTGATTTCTCAGGTCTCAGTGCTGCTGAGAAAAATGTTACCCAAATTCCAGGAAACACATCAACAGAATAGATGCATCAGACTCCATACTATCTCAGTGTACACTTTCCAGTAAAGTCAGTTTCTGTGGCCCATGCTGTGCCATTTGTCTTAGGAGAGTAGCTAGCTGTAACTACCAGGACATCTTTGTCCCAAGTCATTTTTACAGATGAGATTCAACCCACTCTTGTTTAAATCAATCTGAATGTAATATCTATACTTTAGATTTTTCACTTACAGCAATATTCATAGATAACATACTGTAAATAGTATAAGAGGAATTCAGAGTATGTTTTTTCAGTGTTTCTCAGAGTTGATGGCCCTAATCTACAAACTCACCTGATGGACAGCTCCTAATTTCTCTGCTGCACTTGTTGCCCGTTCAATTGTTCCTGCCAGAATTGCTAGGCTGTTCTGTAAGTGTTCAACCAGTTCCTTGCACTTGGGATCCAAACAGGCCTGATCCAACTTCTGGATGGGTAAAACAGAGATTCTTGGATTGACTGAAAGAATACCTACTAGGACTTCTTCACTGGACTTCACAAGAAAGACAATTCTCCAGACTGGATCAATTCATTACCAATACAACAAAAATTGACCCAATTTCTTGCAGAAATCATTACACGTAACCTGCTCAATAGTACCGTACACATTGTGTTTTAACCAAATTATCTTAATTGAACATTGATCCCAACAAAATCAAAAAGCAAGCTAGTTATGGTTTAGCTTTTAATGAAATTGATAGGAAAAGTCCAATAAGTCTGGATTCAACCCATTCTCTGCTGGTCCTCTCCCTTTTGAGATTTTGGAAGTCCAATGCTCTTGATGGCCCTAGATTACCATCCTTATGGTAATGCAAATGCAAATGCAAAAAAAAAATAGTCAAAAAGCCAAGAAAATTACTTCACTTGCCTGCAACACTGCCCGACATTCTGCCAACTCCTGCTGAATATTCTCTTCTGCTGTGTTCCATGCTCGCTCTTCTATCTGCATTCGCTGTCTCAGGGTAAACATATCGCAACGGAAAGCCAAGGCTAAGTGCGCAAAAGCTGCCTGCCAAAGAAGGAAGGAGAGATCATCCAAATTGTACTACTGATGGAACTCAACCATATTCAACACTGTTTCAGAATCAAAACATTTTGGGGAGACTGTGAATGAATAAACACTAGGCCAAAATAAACACTAGGTCAAAGGTTCTAATTTTCTGGAGGAAACAGAAAAGGGAGTCTAAGATTTTCTGACTCTAGTCAGTTTCTTGTCTATGATCAAGTTTCAAGAGAAAGTCAAGTGCATCTATGTATTTCTATTTCTGTATTAAACCAGCATGAAATTTATCCATGCTATAACAAAAAAGCGGAGAACCAGTTTGGTGTAGCAGTTAAAGGCACTGGGCTACAAGAGGAGACTGAAAGTTCTAGTTCTGCCTTAGGTACAGAAGCCAGTTGTGGGCCAGTCACTCTTTCTCAACCCCAGGAAGAAAGCAAGGGCAAGTCACTTCTAAAAATGTTGCCCAGAAAACTCCATGGACTTGTCCAGGCAGTTGCCAGGAGCTAAGACTGACTTAAAGACACTGACATGAAATGTCACTTTTCAGGATGACCTGGTCATCTCAAATTATTAATTGTTTCAGACAATTCTAGGACTCATACTCTTTAACTAAGAAAACAGTGGTGTTTTCCAAGCAACAATGTATTATGGTTTAATTGTTGGGAAACTGAAATACAAATATTGTTTCCCTGCTGGAAAATGTCTGGTGTCACAACAAATAACACGCATTCATCTATTATATGCTCTCTAGTGATACTATAATGTAATAAAAAGGAATTAAAATAATTCAGTCTTCTGGTGTGTAACCATTTGCCAATAAAGTCAAGATTGTTAGGGAAGCTCAACTTAATGCTAAAATTATGCAAACATCTTTGATGAGAAGAGATGTTCCTCACTAAGGGCAATCGTACACAGACATAGTTGGGTCTCAGAACAATATAATGTTCTGCCTCCAAGCTAGTCATGAAACCAATGATTTTATAACAGCTATCTCGATAAGCCTCAGAATATCTTCTGAAAAAGTTGAAATGCTATGAATTAGAAAGAATCCAGCCATCTGGACGGCAATGCTCACCTCCACGTCTTGCTCTGTCAAAGCCACCCTGCAAAGAAAGTACAAAATCATACAGACTAGATATTAGTGATTTGGCAAAGTTCAAACAGCTTAGCAGAGGAGAGGTTCTGTAGCTTCCAACCTGGAGAACTTCACCCATGAACCTGGAGAGAATGCAGAAAAACCTCCCCCACTATTGCAACCTTGATCTCCAATTTACAGAACATGTGAGCAAATGTATTCAAACTGGTATAGCTCAGAGGGATGTAAGTGCAATAAGTAACTCAAATTTACAAGGGGAAATACCTTGTAAATGATATGGCAAGATTCTTTATAATTTATAATGGTTTCAGAGATGCTGTTGCTAAAGGTGATACAAGCTCCAAGCAGCTATTGGAGTTCAGTTATGTTCACTTGAATTTTAAGGCCATTTTAATGCCAACATCTAAGAACAGATCCCATATTTTACGGAGCCCTTCCCACTCACAAAAAACAGACAAGCAGGCATATGAAAGGCAGTCCTGTCAGACATGTGGAAGGCTCCTACCTATGCAAACCCAGCCTCTGAAGCACAGAAAGCTCCACCAGTGAGGTATTCAGTGCATCCTCAGAGGAATCTGATTCTAGACAAGAAAAGTTTAAAAATTAATGTGGAAACGGCACAAATTGGAACTAGATAAAAAATAAAGATTCTTAGTTGTCCATTGAGGTTATCTTATTTGGCTGGAAAATACAAAGGTATGGCAGGCCAGTATCTGGAGACGAGTCAAAAGCACTTGAAATATAAGTTACATTCCTGATAAAACAATTTGCCCTAACAATTCCTGTTAGTGGATGGTTACACAATAAACAAATCTGAGCATTTCTTTTTACGCAGACTATAGTAGAAATCATCCAGATAGAACATTAATCTGGATCCTTTTTCTTAGACTAAACAGCCATTTTAAACAGCCTAAGAACATGCCTAAGGTGTTTGCTTATTTCAGTAGCAATTTCAATATATGGTTAACCTGTAGCACTCATTTTCAAATTCTACAGCAGCACACCTGAAGAAATTTCCTGTTGGGGAACATGCAAATGGAGAACATGTTAATCTTTTGGAGATGGGGAAAGTTGGAACTGGGAAGAAAAGGAAATAAGCAATACTAGTCATTCCTGGAAAGCTAGGAGCATAAATTAAATAGATAAATAAAAGGGAAAACAGAACTGGAAGAAATGAAATGAAAGGAAGAGAACTGTAGAAAAGAAAATGGATGGGTAGAATTCTGAAAGACATATTGAATATGAAATAAAAACAAGAGAAAAACTAGAATATATGGAAGGGTAACAATGCAAAGAGAGGAGAACACAAGGTAAATCCAGCAACAGATTCATTCACCAACCTTCATCACTGTCACCACTGTCTTTGAAGTGCACTGCTTGGACTCTGCTCCCTGGGCTGCTACTCTTTGCTGGCTCTTGGGATCGCACCACAGAAGGCTGCAAAGGAAGGAGAGTAGTTACAACAAGCAACAGAAATATAGACACACATTCCTTCCTCAAGATGGATTAGATCCTCCTGGGGAAATGGCATTACCTAGGAAAAAGGCTCATGACTCTGCCCCAGCTATACCCAGAAGAGTAGGCTGTAATCAATAACCAGCTGAAGAGAAAAAGATCCTTCATATTTTCTTCTTTTAGAACATTGGTGTATTTGTTTCAAGCCCCACATCTTGGTACAACAAAGCAAGAGAGATTCCAGTTGAATGATATGCCCCAAGACAGTCTTCTCCAACCTGGTATTTTCTGTACATCTTGGATTACAACTCTCAGAATGCCCAGTCAACCCATCTGAAAGATACCGAGTTGAAGAAAGATGTCCTGGAAAATACTCTGAGGACAGCACACACAGTGCTAAAGCTAAAGCTAAGCCACTTGAGGCCTGATCGACACTTAGCATTAGAAGAAAACTGGACATCCCCTCTTGAAAATAAGACATCAATTGTAAAACTATTCTAGCCTTACTTACTCTGGCTTTGCTATCACAGCTTTGGCTTCTTTCATTCACCATTCTTTCTGATTCTCCTTCTGAAGCGGCCATTGTTTCTGGGGGAACAAGTACAGAAAGATTCATACTCTTCTCAGCTTTTATCTGTTGCACCCATGAGAACATTTCCCATTCAACCTAAACTCAAAATCTGGCAACGGGTTTGGCATCATCCATATACTTTGTGCATCTTAGGACAAACAAGAGCAGAATACTAGAGGGCTCATGAGTTGAAAATGAAAGGGCCAACAGCTCCTCGTGTTCCTCCTTTCTGAGTGGGCTTCTTCTAGTTACTCAGAAGGAACAATATGAGTTCCAATATGCAGGGCAAAGGTGAGTTATCAAAGAACCGTAAGCCTTTATACAGAGAATTGACAGATGAATGCTTCTGCTGCTGATTAGGACAATGGGCTGATAGTATACAGAGTCTAAAGCAAGTAGAAAATCTTAGGTCAGCCATCTCCAGTCTAATGTTCTCCAAACATTTTGGGGTCTGAGCTCCCAGAATTCCCAGGTAGCATAGGGATGGCAGCGTGGTGCTCTTGAGACTTGATCATATAAGCGTGACCACGCAACTGACAGATCGATGTCCTGAATCAACGACTTATTTTTACTTTAAGCAGAGACATCTTGAAATAGCAGTAACATGTCATCGTGGTCATTGTAGCACCACCTGTGCTTCCAGTGTAAAGGAATGTAGAGATGATCTTGGTGAAGGAATAGATGAGCCTTTAAGAAAGGGCAAATCACAATTCAGTCCTGGGAAAGTGAAAAGCATGAGAAAAAAACTCAATAACCCTGTCTTGGTTTTGTTTGATATAAGAAGGGGGCAAAAAGAAACTCTGACAATTTTCAAGATTCTGTTATTATATCCTACCATGATAAAGTAGCATTCTTGGAATCCTTTTGGTATCTGTTTCCTGACTTGGCCTACCTCAAAGGGATGACATAATCTTCCATCTAGCATGGAGACTTTCCAAACCAGCATTAGCCAGTGACCAAAGCAAGGTGTTCTGGCATGAATATGCTTTACAAAGGGCAGAAGAATAAAAAAGGAGTGGTGCTGATGTTAAGGTGGCAGTGAGAAATAACCAGCCAGAGGCTTATGTCAAACAGCCACTGCATCCAGGATAAACTGTGGCAGGATACTGGCTCTGTTGTAACTGAGAAATGATACAGCGGTAGGCCAGGACAGAAAGAAACAGGTAAAAGTGGAAAGAAAATGTGGGAGTGAGAGTATGTTGCATTCTTTCTCCCATTTAATAGGACCCTGAAAAGCTTACTGAGCACTAGACTTGTTACTGTTCTATTAGAAGCAAGGGCAATCACTCTCTTTGAGTTGCAGTCACTTCTGTTGAAGGGCAGCATCTCAAGAAAGCTGCTGACTTTTGAGCAATGAAGACCCACCAGCCACTAACGATACTAAGTTTTGATCAATCTTAACAGATCATATCAGGCTAGCACCCCATAAAATTAGGAGACAGACCCCTCCCTACCCCAGAGCTCTTGATTACTCCTTCCATGCCCAGGCTGCTTACCTGCGTCCAAAGATGGCCCAAGTCCATCCAGATCTCCCAGATGCTGTATCTGCATTTCTTTGCTGAAAGGATAATTAGGCTTGATTAATTACTATGAAGCTCGAGCAGCAAGAGGATGAGATCCTCAGTGAAGTGGATGACCTCTCTGCCCAGCTGAGTGTAGAACTTAAAACTGTATGGGGTTTGCCACTCCAGGAGAGATAACCTTGGAATATCTGGCAGGGTGTGTGGACATAGGGGCTGCTTTTGCAGTGTGATCTAATCATATGGAGTGCAGTAGGTATCCTTCAGTCCTCCTTTCCCTCCTAAGCCTCACCAACTCCACAGGCACTGGCTGGCATGGAGTCAGCTCTCTTACCTCTGCAGTCCCCTGCCATTCTCTATGCTGGACCAGGCTGACCGCCAATGCTGCAGTCTGCTGTGCCTTTCCCTCCCTGGCGGATAGACTGAAGGCTCCCTGTAACTGTATTTCCCAAAAATCTGTGAGTCACAAAACCACAGAAAGGTTTTGATTCATCACATTTTAACTCTACTGACACCTTTCCAGACTTCCAAGCGGACTCTCTTAAATGAGCGCCTTCTCTAATCCAGGAAGTAGGAAAAGAATTTTTAAAAAAACTACAAGGCCATCTGCTGGGGAAGGCACAGAATTGAGTGGAAAGGATAAGTAAAGAACTGACTGCAATTGGACTACTAGTTTTGCTAGCAATGGTAAAATTTAGCAGTTAGAACAAAGCAAACCATCTAGCACGCTCACTGCTCAGTACAGTTACCTCTGATTTGCAAATCAGAAGTATTTAAGTCTATTCTTGGTTCAGCTGCTCAGCTTGATGTGGACTACAAACCCCAGCATGCTAAGAATTCTGGGAGTTGTAGTTCAAACATATCCAGAGGCTACCAAGCTGAGGAAGAATGTATTAAGGTTTGCATCATGGATATGTTGCAAGATTCTTCCATTCTCTTTCTGACAGAGCTATCCAAGCATGACACCATATAAACCACAGTGAGCTCAGCTCATGTGGACAGTTCGAAGTGTAATGTGCTGTGCAGACTCAGAACAGAATTAATTCATATGTACATAAGTAAATCAATGATAAGCGTATGGTGTGACCAGAGCCACAGATGCTGCATCTCCAGATTAATCTTGAAACCATCTTAGTTCTGATTTGAGTCACACACACACACACACACACACACACACACACACACACACAAAGGAAACTGGTGTTTGTTGTTATCTAAGAGACTACTCCAGGAGGCAAAATACATTTTTGTGCAGCTTTTGTTTGCCCTTTTACTAGCAGCCTCCCTTGTCACTAATATTCTGCCTCATTTTCCCCCCTCTTGCAAAACTGTAAAACTAATATTTATGTTTGGTAATGAAACAAAGAGGTAGGGAACAGAATCTGAATAAAACTTCCCTAAGCAAGCTGGGGAAGAACTGCGGAAAATAGTGATCTGCAGTCCAGACAGCTCATGCCATGACCAAGATTTTTACCCCAATAGCTTTGAGATACAGAAAGAAATGGAGTACAGCAAAGGGGACTGATTCAGCTCAGTTTATGTGAACACAGCCATTAGATTCATTGGATCTAAAGTTGCCCCACCTCCATCCTTCAAACAGCACAATTTCTGGGAGAATAATGGGGGTCCCTGGAGTGGTTACAGCCCCCTTCCTCCAAACCACTGGTAGGGGTCCTCTGTCGCCTCCACCTCCACTAGAAGGCCAGGGAGGTTGGGATTACTCTGTCTCTCTTTTAGACAATTTGGCAGAACAGACATTAACTGAGCCCACATTCCCAGCTAACACCTAAACCATGGACAAACCAGTCAATTAATACCCTTTCACTGTTTATAACTTCATACACGTGCAATCCTTTTCCTCCAGATATTTGATCCCTGTTTAAATGTCAGGCATCACGTGCATGTATGAATTTGATTTTCAGCACTGATATCTTCAAATCTGCCATCAGACTTTGTCAGTGGATTTTTTTCTCTTGCATCCCATTTGAGATTTTATTCATCTGTTCCATCGGGCCTTGTTCTTTTCAGAGGCAGTGACTTTAGTTGAGTGGTACAATATCTGCTTTATCTGTGGAAGGTCCCAGGTTGGCATTTCCAGGCAGGGTTGCCAATAAGTACAGACAAATGAGGGACTAGGTGGAATGGTCTATTTTGTATAGAACATCGTTTCCTAATAGGTAGCAGATTTGCACTTACTGCAAATGCAAAAAGTTTCTATTGATATACTTGTTTTGTTTAGGAGAAGAATGGGCAAAAGAACCAAGAGGAGACAAGGAAGCATATGGAAACACTATTACTTTATGGGCATATTTGCTAAATGCTTCCAAGTGGAGGAATATAAATCAATCAATTCAGTACTTCACGTACACTGATGGCTAGATGGATTCAGTGAGCTAGACTGTTGAACTGCTTTGCTGGCTACATTCAGTTCAGCACTGACCATGGAGAAAAGAGAGAGATTTAGGGCCTCCCACACAAAACTGCCATCACCTGGAAGCTGTCCAAAACTGCTCACCATGATAGTTTCCCTACATGGCAATTTATTACAGGGCAGCAGCTTGACATGCAAATCAGGTCATCATGCGCAGACACAGTTTTGGAGTCTTGAAAATGCAGAAGAAACGCCGTAGTGCTTAAGCAATCAGATAAATACAGAAGCCAGATGAAATAGGAGTTCAAACACAGGAATGCAGAAGGCAGATGAAGAAAGGGCTACAGGGAAATGGGAAAATGCACTTTAAGACAAAATGAAAGGGCTAGGGTAGTTGGGAATAAATACATTTTTAAAAAAACAGGTTAGTTTGTGAGGAAAAATCATGTTTATTTCATAAGAAGAAAATATTTTCATTTCATTCCTCCCATCTGCTGCATAGTTTAACAACTCATAAGCTATGAGACACAACACAGACAGCCATCACCATCTTAATTTTTGTCCCTGTAGCCAAATAGTCACAGCGTCACAGCAGGTGGCAGCAGCACCGAACTGACCTTGGTTGATTTGAGAGAATCTGAGCAAGGACAGTTAGCACTTGGATGGGAGACCAACAGGAACTCCTATGGCTTCAGATTAAACTGAGAAGTAAAAAAAAAAAAAAAACTGGAAGAAGACAATGCTAAATTATTTCCATATTGTTGCTGAGAAAAGCAACACAGAGGCATCCATGAAGTCATGCAAAGTCAAGCTCAACTGCAAAGAGACTCTCTCTCTCCCTCTGTCTCTCTCTAATCTATTTACATAGTTGCCCTACTCAGCGCATAGCTCAGGGAGGTATATATGATCAGTACAGGTAGTCCTTGGTTTACGATGGCAATTGGGACCAGAATTGCCATTGCTAAGTGATGCAGTCGTAAAGTGTGATGTTGCATGACCACACCACTTAGCGACAGCAGTTCTGGCAGTCCCAGTTGCCATCATTAAGCGAGGACATCACATTGACTGTGACTTCCAACTTCCTGCCAGCTTCTCTGTTGACTTTGCTTGTGGAAAGCTGGCAGGGAATGTCAGAAATTGCAATCATGTGACCACGGGGATGCTGTGATGGCCGGAACTCTGAGGACCAATCTTAAGTCCCCCTTGTTCAGCACTGTTGCAAGTTTGAATGGTCGCTGAATGAATGGACATAAGCTGAGGACTACCTGTAACAGGAAAATCAATAAAAAGCCCATAATAGAGCAAAATATAAAGCATAATCCAAACAGTAAAACCCAAACCCAAAGTGCTAAGAAAGAATTTCATGCAATGGGTCATATCACTCCCAGACCCAATGCCTGAGGAAAAAAACAGATCTTTAATGCCTTCCAAAAGTTACACATAACCAAAAAGTAAAGATACTGGAATGGATATACATCCTGATTTATTACATGTATTTAATTATATGCACATTCAGATGTGTCTTTTTCCCTGGATGGACGATGTGTCCTGAAAGCCAAAGTCTTGTATCAGCACTGGCAGTGGTGGAGCTGAGCTAATAAAATCCAATGTTAGCCATGCATTCAAAGAAACAGAAACCATATATGAGCAACTGTGTGCTGAGAATACTGTAACCCTTATATCAGCACACGCACAGAATCCATATAGTACCTCTGTGCTTCATTCAGCGTTTTCACTTGTTTTCTTAAAACAATTTTCAGGATCCCTGAAAGTACCATTTACTCTTTTAAGAGCTTCTGACCCACCATGAAGTAACTGACTATTGCCTTGACTTACCTGCAGGCCCGTCTTTCTTTTCAGGGTCCCAGGTGGGAAAAACAAAGGCGAGGGGGCAAGGCCGCAGAAGGTATTTCTGAGCTGCATTACCACCACCACCGTCAATGGGGCATTCCTGTTTTCTGAGAGTACCAAGTACCTGTTCAGGTTTGCTCCTTCTCACAGCCTGTTTATTATCATTGTAACAGAGAAGCTACTGGGAGCATTGTCTCTTTTAAACCTGTCCCACGGAAAGCAGCTGTAATCCAGACCAATTAAAATCCAGTCTGCATGAGGCAAACCAGAAGCAGCAAGGGAGGGGCTACTAAATACTGGAGAACTTCTCTTTTAGCTTCTTGCTGTCTGGGCTCTTAGTCCAGGCTCCCAAGTGCTAACCCTCAAAGTAAGGAATATGATAAAGAAGTAATGGCTTAATTCAGGGATTTATTATTACCACCATCAAATTATGCTTTTCAGTCCCCAGAGATCTCTTCCTGTATAAACCTCTTACCCGCTTGAGTTCGTCCCAAGTCAACCCATTGTTCCCAGAATTGGAACAATTCTGACTTCCTTTTGACTACAGACATAATCTGCATTTGTATCATCATACAAGTTCAGTGAAAGCGGCAAAAAGTGATTAAAATGGATTGGACTATATCCATCTTTTTTTTTCCTTCAAAGTTATGCACAGAGATTTCTAGACAATCCGAAAGAGACATTTGTTATTGAAAGTAATTTTACCATATTGTTTGGAAGGTGCCATACAACTTGCCATTTAAATCCAAAGTGCATAAAAATACGCTCACCAATAAAAGCAATTAAATCACAGGAAAGGAAGGAAAGCAGAACAGGAACACTTAGATATCTAATATTTGGTATTTTGCTTTGCACAACAACAATCTTTGGACACCTTTTTCTGCTCATAGTCACTCTTTCCCCTCAGGCCTCATCATGTATGTACTTAGCTGGCATATTTAAAAGTATTCTTTAATCATCTTAAAGACAACTTTTAATTGGCACAACACTATCTCTTGGAGAAAGTTATTCTTTATTTCAAAACTCCTTTAAATGAATTACAAGAGAGCAAGAGAGACAGTGCTGTTGATTTTTCTTTCTTTCTGCACTGCCTTCCCCACTCGTATATCAAACATTTAAATAACTGACTTACCCTAAACAGAATTTGGAGTGTCGTCAAGCAAAGAGAGTCAAAAGTGTAAGCTTGAGGGAAGAGGAATGCTCTGAGAAAGGGTCTTCCTCTTTCTCTGGAGATACTGAAGTTAAACAGCAACAGCAGTTTCTGCTCTGCCTCTAAACAAAGCCACTGGCTTCTGAAGACCAGGTCCTTGGGCTGCTCCTCCTGCTTGGAGGCAGACGCTCTACAGCATTAGCTAGGCTTTGCCTCTTAGGAATGCACTTTTACTGCAGCCGGAGAAGCCCCTTGTTTATACGAGGGATGACGGCTGTCTTGTAAACACTGCCTATTTATGATGGTCTAGCTCTTTCTGGCTGTATGCTAACAGAGGTTAACCTTGAACAAAAAGTTAACCCTGCCTCATGTTGCAGAAAGGAATTCCACCCTGCTGCTCAAAGGAGAGAATAGTTTGCCAAGGCTGGAAATACCATGAAAGGAGACCTGTAAAGAACATTACTGTTGTTTCTAGAAGCTTATCATTTTTGGAATCACATCAACATCATTTGAGATATCTCAACTGCTGCTGTTCACCCAGTAACCTCAATCAGGGCTTAACTGAGTCCCAATTAAGTCATGCTCAACAAAAGACCCAACTCAAACCTGCTAGAACGTTACAGCCCATTCCTAAAATATATGAGTGCCTCTGAGCATTCGCTGAATGAGGCCACAATGTTTAGTCGATAAATGAAGATTAACTTGGCAGCAGATTAAAAAATAAAGAAATGCAGAACTAGCAAAGACTGGGATGGAAACGTGCTGTCTTAGGAGAAGCATTATTTCTTTTTCTCATTCACATAGATGAGAATGCTTCTTCTAAGACAGTGCCTGCTTCTGTGATACATGTGTGCAGAATCCAAACAGAAATATATTGTTGGAACTTTTAAAATCAGAAGTACTGCTGCAATGATATGCAAATTTTATGCAGATAGCCTCTCCCACCCTGGTGCTCTCAAAATTGGTTAAACTACAGCTCCCATTCTGACATGGCATACTAGCTGGGAATAACTGGAGATGTATTTCCAAAACAGCTGGGAAAGGTTGATACGAGATATAATTAATAAGCAAGCAGTTTTCCTCTTTTCTTGTGACAATCCACAGGCAGCTCCAGTACAAAGGAAATTATATAACATTCATGGTGTGTCGATCCCAGCATTTTTCTGCAAGGAACAAAATATCAAATGCCCATTTCCTGACCTAATTTCATTGGCACTGAGTGACAGCCACAAGGCTTCTACTGCTTCCAACAAAGTTCCTTGTACTATTTCAATCTTTCCTTAAAGTAGCTTTGCTGCTTTTAATCAGACTTAAGCTGCAGTGATGTCTGGGTACTTCACTGGTTCCCAGATGTCACACACTCAACACTTCAGGCTCTTCAAAAACTGCTCTTTGCTCAGGTGAAAAGTCCTCCCAAAATCATCTCAGCAAATCGGGATGACTTGTCTGCCTTTCTTTCAGAATCCTGAAATTTTCTCATGCTGCTGCCATTTCTATCAGTGGTGAAGCTTACCACTGTGTGCTTTAGGTTAGAAGTATGAACTATACTTGAAATATATACATTGATCTCCACATTGTTGACATGAATTCCACTGAGATGCACCACGAGGATAATAATAGGAAGTTTTCTGAAGTTCTCTGTAATCATATAGTTTGATTTAAATTTATGACATTTGATATGCTCATAAAATCAACTGGGACCTTATCACTAACTGGAACATTGCAGACAGTGCAAAAGTTATTTATCTCATGATTTTTAGCCAGGACCAAGTGTACTTTTCTCTCTCAAGCATTTCCGCAGGAATCATCTCTGGGGGGCAGCTATGTAGGTGGGTTTGACGCAAACAGTGGGTAGGGCCAGAGCCAAAAATGCAGAACACATTATTACAGTGATGCTTAAGTTTGTGAACCCTTTTGAATTTTCAACTTTTCTGCATAATTATGACCTAAAACATGATTCGTTCTCTACACAAGTCCTAAAACTATATAAAGAGAACCCAATTAAACAAATGAGTCAAAAACATTATTCTTGTTCATTTATTTATTGAGGAAAATTATTCAAAGCTGGGTCTCTTTATCTAGTTTTAGGACTTGTATAGAGAGGTTTTAGGTCACATTTATGCAGAAATGTTGAAAATTCAAAAAGGTTCATAAACTTTTAAGCACCCAATGTACCTTTCTCGTGCTTGCTTTTTTTCTCCTTTCCCTTTCACAACGTATTTTTCTTTCTCATTTTTTCTGAGACATCTGTGGAGCAAATGACTGCAGGAAAACCGAATCTCTCATCATAATTTTGAAATGAACTCTTGCAGTGGGCTTTGGAAATAAGACCAAGGGGTCATGAATAGCCGGGAGTTGCAGTCTCAATCCATCTGCAAGGGCTAGATTGGAAGACAGTTTGTTCTATTGCAAAAAGGGAACTTTTAAATTAACTTGGTTGTTGCTAAGTTATGAAACACCAAAATCAAACTTAACTCTTGGTGACTTTGTCAGAATGTACTTTTTTTTTTTTTTGCCAACATGTCTTTTGCCAGTGTCTCCTTACAGAGTGTTTATTCAGCTTCCCAATCTAGCCTACAACCGTGAGCTTTCCTGATGGCTTCTCACCCAACTACTAACCTGATTTGAACTTGTTTCTTCAGTATCAGCCAAGATCAGCTAGATGTTGCCATCTGCTGTCACTAAACAGAGCATTTCTGCAAATTAGACTAAAGCTTAGTTCTTTACAGTTAGCAGAATAATGTATCAGGCCCAAGGCACGTAAAACTAGTATTTATAACTCTTCCATTTCCCATTACATTCTGTGCTCCGGTGGTATGCAATTTTACAAGATCTCCAAACTAAAATGACACAACTGAATTCTGAAGATTATAAATGTTTCCCTTGTAGTTTTCTTTGTATTTAAGATACAGTGCTTTTTCAGATTCTTTTCTAATTATTCTATCTGTAAATACCAGCTCCATTTCTAAAAAAAGCAGATTTTAGAGACATTTGTTTTTAATATAACTGTGGGCAATATAAAGACCCATTTTGTTGTAACAACCCATATCTCAATGACATGTAGAAAATACAGTTTTGACTGAGTGATTTTTAGAATTAGTAGGTCCTGCATTGTAAAAGCAAGCAATCCAGATAATCATTCTCAGGTTCCCAAGTACCAATACATCCATAACCACAATATGGATATGAGACACCAGGTTTTTAGGAAATTTGGAACCACAGACTTTTATCATAGTTGCTATGCAAAATGCCTTACCTTATCTAGGGGACACTGAAAACATACCATCTGCTTCTTGGGACATTTGAGCACTTGCAAAAGCCAGAACACTTGAAACAAGTTTGAAATGACTCCAGTACAGCTAGCTCAGAAGACCCTCAGATGTTTTGGTTTGAGCTCAATAGTTGTTTCATGCTCAGAATATCTTGCACTCCCCAACTTCACCCACATAAAGTGCAGGGTTCTTTCCCCCTAAATGACGAGACAGATCATTCTGTAACAGCCGACTTCGTTCAGTAAGATATGATAAAATGCAGCCAGGTGCATTTTGATAGGTCTGCAATATAATCCTTGCATATAGGAAATTGTCACCTATGATGCTAGTAAACAATATGCTCATTTTTTAGGTATTTGCCAATTACATTTTTTTCTGTGCAAAAGAAGTTTCTAAGTCAAAGTATGCTCTAATATGGCAAACTGATGCCAATGCTTTGTGATCTTATTCTATCCCTGCTAATGGTAAAGTATCAAGACATTTATCTCCTCCTCCAGTGAATTACTTACTGGAGTAGGGAGAACCAAAGAATTGGGAGGTTGCTCTTTACTGCAATTGCAAAAGAAAACTGGTCCCATCAGCTTGAGCAATATCTCAGCTGCAATAGAAAAATGGTAAAAATATTTTCCTGCAAAAAAACAGGTCATAATTTAGTTAAATTAGCATATGCTTCATATGCAAAACTACCCCTTGAGAAGATCAGTCTAGAAAAATTATTTTCAGGCGATTCAGTTTGCATTCATACCTCATAAAAGCCAGGAATTTTTTACAACCGTGCTTTGCACCAACTGTGGTGAATTGCTTTGCGTCTCATGCTAAACTTGAAGACTGGGGCTGCATGAGCCCTCCAAGCCCTTTTCTGTGGCTCTACTAAGTTTCCTACCCCTTTGAGATGAGAAGTGGTGAAACAGATATATAAGGCTTAACTCTTCCCCCACCCACGTGTATTTCTACCTACTTTGCAACCTGTTCATTTTGTCCCTTCCAAAATTGTTAAGTATTGACTGTGACCATCAAAAGATTTCCTATCTCCACGCTAAATGAAAAACTTATTGTTAGCTTTATGCACAAACCAAGTTAGTATGAAGCAGTGTCCCTACTATTAAAGCTTGAGCCTTTTTCTGAGTCATCTCATTTCTCAAGTATTTGAAAAGTTGTACTCTTAAATAGAGAGAAGTCAATGAATGGATTTGACAGATTGAAATTATATTCTTTCACAAATTGAAGCAAACAGTTTGTTCAAGTTCAAAAACTGAAGTAAATTCTGTAATTACTCCCAACTACCCTCAGTAGCCTGATTTTTAAGGAATTACTATTTCCTACAAGCATGACTGTTTCAAAGAAACAACTCCCTATTCTGGCATTTCAGATTTGGGGAACTGCTCACTCTCACATTCTGCACTCTTGGTTTACCACAAACAAGCCATGAGCACAATCCATATTCTGCTACTTACTGATTCTCGGGTAACAAAAATGCTGAAGAATCCAGACATTCTTTAGCATAATGTTCCAAAAAGGGAGCTATGCTTGTTCTAATCCAGTAACACACCCAGTTTGCTTTTCTGCTTATGACAGAAATAATATGATTTCTAGTTTGGACACATGAAACTACATATTCCTTCACTTAGGGGAGAGCAAAATATGCTTTAGAAAGTACTGTATACCAGTTCATAATAGGCCAGAATTTTCTGAAGTCCAGTTTATCATGTTTGAACGTGACACCACACGCATTGAACAGTTCTCAGTTTAAGAGAAAGAGTTAAATATTAAGGAATTCCATGTACTATGATATTATAAAAATCAAAACTCACACACTCATAAGTTAGCTAAAAAGAACTGTATTGTTAGCTGAAATATATATATCTATATTGTCATTAATACAGGCGCTGGGGTTTCCCCAT